AAAAGTTTGAAATATACCAAAGTACATGCACGGACACAGGAAGCACGCGCGCGCGCGCGCACACACACACACACACACACACGGGGAGGGGGTGCAAGGGAGGCCTTCGGCCCCCCTCCCGCACTCACTCCGCCGGTAGGCAGGGTGGACCTCGCTTTACAACTTACAGAGTACATGCTACATTGTAAAGCAAGGTGCGGGAGGGGGGCCGAAGGCCCTCCTTGCACCCCTCCGTGTGTGTGTGTGTATGCGTGCTTCCTGTCCATTCATGTACTTTGGTATATTTCAAACTTGTAAGTTTTACCTTTTTCTCTTCCCCCGGCCCATGCGTTCGATTTACTATACATAAATAAATGAATCTGCTAAAAATACATTTTCAACACATATATTTTCAACTTTCACGTGTACATACACATTGATGTTAGCAGGTCGCGAAAATATTGCTTTGTGTTTACATTTGAATACCTTCCCTCAATGTTTATACTATTTCATGTTCATTTTTTATTATTTTCTGTACTAGTGAATTCTTATGATGACACAGTCTTGTTTAATTCTTCCAAGCGTAAAGTTCTTACTTCTCAATATATTAGTACAAATAATAGTGCATTTCGTTAATAATACAATGCATTTGCACGAATTTCTTCATTTAACATATAATTATGATGCTCTAATACAGTATCTTATTGATAAACAAGTTATTCGTGATAATATTCAATGTCCAAAATGTAGAAATATTATAACTTATACAAATATATTTAAAAGCTTTATCATGCATTGCACTAATAAATATTATAAGACTATATCTGGACGAAAAAGACAACGGATAACATGCAACTTTAAAATAAGTATGTTGAATAACACTTGGTTTTCTAAAACTCATTTGGATATGGTAAAAATTTGTCGGTTTATTGGATATTTTTTAATAATTAAACCACCACGACAATCTCTTATATGTAATGAGTTGGAAATACATGATAAAGCTGTTGTTGATTGGACAAATTTTTGTAGAGAGGTATGTAAATTAATATTTGAATGAAATATTCGGGTATATGTTTATATTTGTTACTTATACATGCATTTTTATATTTTTACTTTTTTAATATTTAGTTATTATCGGACTAGTTAATAAAAGAACAACAACACATTGGCGGAGAAGGGATTATTGTGGAAATAGATGAAGCCAAAATTGGGAAAAGAAAATTTAACAAAGGCCGTATGTTAAAAGGACAGTGGATATTTGGTGGCATAGAACGTGCCACAAACAAAGTTTTTATTGTACCTGTAGAAAACCGGAGTTCCAAAACGTTATTACCATTGATTCGTAAATATATTGCTCCTGGATCAATTATTTGATTGTTGGTGTGCTTATAATGTCCTCAAAAATGAAAACTATACACATCAAACAGTAAACCATTCTGGAAATTTTGTGGATCCTAATACTAAAGTTCATACACAAAACATAGAGAAATTATGGAGAGAAATGCGTGCTAATCTTCCACGTTTCGGTACTCGAGAATATTATTGTCAACATTATATTGCTGAATTTTTATTTAAAAGACTATACTTTTGATAAGCGTATTTTGATGTTTTTTTTTAAATAATGAGCAGATTATATCCAATAAATAATTAATTCAACATACTTATATTTTATTTTTGAACACCCTATATATGTAAAAACGTGTTTATTTCAGTTTATATGTGTAGTATACGTAGGACTATTTCTGTAAACTAACTTAAATATCCAGTTTTTCATTGTCAGACTACCCAGTAAGCAATTTGATAACAAATTGTTGCCAAATTGGCATCAAATTCGCTCAAAACTTGGTAACAAATCCAGTGCCATCTGTGTCCGCATTAAGCTTGTGTTTTGGTGACAAAGCTTGCTGACATAACCTGACAGCAAATTGACGGCAAAAACCGAGCAAAGCTTGACATGATTTGACGTCAAATTGGTGGCAAAAATCGAGCAAGATCTGCGCAAGACAATCTGACACCAGATTGTCAGCAAAATTCGAACAAATTCTGCAGCTTTTAGCCATTCATATAAAATAGTATATTTAAATGGATTTAAAGTCTCAACCATAAGTAACAAAATGATGATAAGTTTTGGTCATAAAATGACCATTAGATAATTAAACATTATATAAAATCATATATTAATGTGTTAAAACATATAGGTAAATTTAAATAAT